CGTAATCGGTGTAGGGCCCTGCCTTTTTTCAATACGGTAGACACGTAACACGTGTGTGCTGTGGGTGCGTGTGCACGTGCCGTGCCGTGCGTCCGTGCGCTGTGTGGCGCGCTGTGTGCACGTACACGGTGTGTGCGTGCGTGTGCACGTACACGTGCGTGTGTGTGTGCATGTGCACGTACACATGCGTGCGTGTGCACGTACACGTGCGTGCAATGCAATAGGCACTACATGTGCGGTCGTTGTGGTGCTGCGTGCGTGTGTGCCACGTCGTGCGGTGCGTACCGTGGCGGTACGCGTGCGTGTAGCGCACTGTTCGCGTACACGTACGTGCGGTACGTAAGCACGTACATGTGTTGTCGGCTGTGATCGCGTGTGCACGTACATCGTGCGCGCGTAGCAATGGGCACGTACACCGTGTGTCGGTGCCGTGCGTGTGACGTAACTGCGTGTTGCGCGTACACGTGCGAGCGCGTGTTCACCACGTGCGTGCGTGGGGGCACGTACACGTGTTGTGCGGCGTGGGCGGTGGCGGTGGACGTTGCGTCGTGCCGTGTGCAGCTACACGTGCGTGCGTGTGCACTTTCATCACCTCTTTTGATCGCCACACACCATTTCAGAATCTCAAGTTCTGGTCACCTTGGCGCCCCACTGTTTCGTGAACCGGCATGGTGCTGTCTTATTCATAGACACGTACGCTGGCCATCTAATTTTCTCAGCCTGCGATTTACGATTGTGTGAGGTGGAGGGCGAGCGCCGTCCAAGATACGTTCCACAAACTACCTTGGATGAATTAGTATAAAATTATTATCTGTTAGTTGCGATAAGGATGTTACCTGACTTATAGCTTTCACTACTATTTGTGTTGACTAGCCTTCAAGTAGCACCCGCATTGCGATGTGAGTTGCGATGTAAATTACGGAAGCAGCCCTAAAAAAATAACTGATTAGTTGTGTCATTTCTACAAATCAAAGCCGTTTGTGTCTAGGAGTTCAACAGCTTTACTGTCAAGTGATCGATTGGTGAGACTGGGGTTCGGTGGCCCGCCATTGTTTAAGCAATGTTTATACTGCCATAGGGTCTAGCATGCTTTCAGCGGCATGCAGAGGCGTGCTAGGGCGTTACATTGTACTTAGAGTGTCTAAACAAGGAAAACTTGTTCAATTGGTTAGATGAGTTATATATAGCCTTTTTGATCTTGCGTGAGCTTAGACAACGCTGCCGCTGGTAAAATCGATGGGAAATTGGCGACGGTGAGGGACGGGGAAATATAACTAGTCCCGCCTGGACCTAACTGCTGATGGGAATCTACTAGTGCTTCTGGTTTTTTACTAGTCTCGGACTAAGCGGACTAGCGTTAGTGTCGAACCGCTGGGCCTAGCCACTAGAACTACAGTATAGACTCTAGGCCCCTTCTGCTCTGCCACGGCCAGACTATCTAGTGATACGATTATAATGGACTTATGAAATAGCGTTCTTGCGTGGATTGAGAGACAAATAAGAACATCAGCTGGTTAGAAGACTCTATAGGAGGAAGCAATGGTAGAGAAATTAAACGACAACAACAACATAATTTTATAACACTACTCCCAGGCGGGGGGGGCGGGTACTATATATGCCGCGTATACCCCATCGTGCGTTCTCACTAAAAGTGAATAGCCCCTAGTGCGAAACTGCAACTTTGGAGAACCCTAAACCCCCTCATATAGAGACCACAATTGAAGAATACCACCCCCTATTGATACCAACTGAAAATATCCCACCCCTATTGCATACACAATGAAAGAGTCCTACCCGCCCGACCCCTACCCCCTATTGCGCAGGTCTTGCACGACAAGTGGAGGGCAAAGAGTTTCCACGTCTCTATATCTTCCGTGAACGGAAAAACTGCTAAGTTTGTAATTTTTATGGTGGCCATTTTTAATCCAAGATGGTAGCCAAAAACGCCCTTGGATAACATGCATCACGTTGTTATATGAAATAGTAACCCAAATTACGTCTGTCAGTCAATTTTCAAGTCTGTACGAAGATTATTAACCGAGACATAGCATTTTTTTTAAGAAATGACGGCGACCATTTTTGAATTCAGGATGGCGGCCGAAGTTGTAGTTGGATCGCGTGTGTCTTGTCTTTAAATGAAAGAGCATACAAAAGTATGCAAGTGTACCAATTTTCACACTTTTTTCACAATTTGAACGATTTTGATGGTATCCTGACCTAACCGACTGTACTACAACCAGTGCGTATAAGATAGAGTTATCACAATATAACGCTGGTGTTACAAATACACATAGTATTTTATTCATCATAAATATCCTGTACGTACATAATATTCAGGCCAAAATCAAGAGAAATTCAAATCAGAATGATCTAAAATATAATCTGTCCTGCAGCGTCACTTCCAGTCGTTATGGTGCTGCGCATGATTCCTATTATATTGGTTGCACATTTCTAACAGCCCGTGAACGATACAGTACCTATACTGTAAAACTATCATTTTTATCTACATGAAATATGAAGTATTTCTACGAAAATATATGCTTTGAAACGACTAATTAATGCATCCATTTATAATGGAATTACGTAAATGAACAAAAAACATCACAACATTAGCCTGACCAATAGCCACACGAATCTTATCACAACCGCCAATTACATGATCAGGAAACAAAATCATCGTCGTGGTAAAAATAATTAATGACCGATATAAGATATTCGGATGTAATTAGGATTTTTGTCTAGTAACTTTCAAGGTCAATCATGTCGGTTGCAGTACGTATCTTTGCTCGACTATATGTCGGGCTAGTAATATGTAGTCATGGTCAGCCGCTAACAAGCAGAGAGATCAACCTAATCTCCACGCAACTACACATGTAGTACACAGCACCGTAATTACATTAAATCTAGCCTTGAAAAGATGCCATATTTTTAAGCATTACGTACACTATTGTACTTCGTTTCATCATGGATCTGTAAGTAGATTACAGTTAAATGGCTTTAATTGTCATATGATAGAAAATACTGGTGCATTTTAATTCAATAATATCGTCACGATTGCTAATCGTAGACAACGTTCGTAATGTTTGTGTGTGTGTGAGAGAGAGCGTGGGTGCGTGAGTGCGTATATATCTTATAAATATGTTACACATGGATATATCTCATTCGCATAATTGAATCTAGTATCGTAAAACCACCAGCACAACGAACACGGATACATGCACACACAATCACGTTCGAGGTAATAAACACAAAGCGAGGGACGATGTAATGAACAGAAACATCACGATATAATAATTACAATTTTAGGACTATTTACATTTGGACAGGTACAAAACTCACGTAGCAGCACCTCGCAACACCTCGTATTATCATGTGTGGCTCCTCCTCCATCTATCTATCTTATAGCAGATACCACCTGCGTTCACGTGAATCTCACGAGTGCATGTCCCCGCAACATGTACAACGTATGCATAAAACCTCCCTTCTTATTTCATATAGCTATTTAAACATGATTCAGAACGCGATATATCGTGTAGAGGTGAATACCTTCAGCACTCTACGAACGCCTAAAATGTGCGCATGTATGTTATGGCCTCACCTACAGTCCTCCATCGCGCCGTCAAAGTACGTGGTGAGATATCTTGCAGAAAGCGACTAAGCGAGCCTAGTATCGCCCCAGAGACGCGCATCTCAACTGTGGGTCGTGACTCGTGCCTCACAGCTCAAGATACTCGGGTTCCGCCTCATCTCCGCTCAGCTCTGGGTCAAGCGTCTCGACTGTGGGTCGTGCCTCACAGCTCGAGGTACTCGGGTTCTGCCTCGTCTCCGCTCAGCTCCGGGTCGAGCGTCTCGACTGTGGGTCGTGCCTCAGAGCTCGAGGTACTCGGGTTCAGCCTCGTCTCCGCTCAGCTCCGGGTCGAGCGTCTCGCGTGTGTCCCTCAGGATGTTGGCGATCATGAACCCGGCTCCGCTGCTTCGCACCGGCACTGGCTGGATGACCGACTGCCGCATCGGTGGCGACACCTGCTGCGTCGGCGAGCCTCGCTGCGGCGGCGATGCCTGCCCCCTGGTGGGCGACGCCTGGTGCCGCATCGGCGCCATCTGGCCTCCCGGATGCGGGCCGTGGGGATAGCCGTACGCCGCCTGCGGGTACTGGTGCGCGTGCGCCTGAAGGTAGGAGGGGCTTGCACGCTGGAATTGCGCCTCCCCGCCCGCAGCGCCGCCGCCGCCGCCGTGCTGATACGGAGGAGCGGTCGGTCGTGGCGAATAGTGCGACGCGTTCGGATATGGCGGCGTGCTCGCGCCGTGATACGGTGGCGCGCCCTGCTGGTACGGTGAGCCGGCGTGCGACACTTGGTACGGTGGCACACCGGCGTGCGCGAAGTGCCCGTGGGGGGCAGGGCCTCTCTGCTGGAACATCGGACCAGGGTAGTATCTAGCGCCGCCGTTGAATGCACCGCTGGGACCCAGCGGGACGCCGGCCACCTCAGAACCCATGCCAACGTGCTGGAAGGCGTTACCGTCTTCTTTCGACGGGTACATGGAAGGGTGTTCGGCCCGCGTATACGCTTGAGATGGGAACCCGCTCTCTCGTCCGAGCTGCGGCGGTGGACCCTCGTGTTGGAAAACGTGCTCTATGTGAGCTTGAAGTCTATCCAAGCTACTGCCTGGAGGCCCCTGTGGATTTGCGCCAATCTTCTCGCCTCTCGGCAACATTTCTCGCGCTCCTGCTTCCATGTTCGTTCCGGGTACACCGAGATTTTCTCCCCTTGCGCCCAGTTCATCCCCACTCTGTAAGTCACTTCCGACACTGTCACGCCTCTCGTTATCATCGAGATCCTTTGCGATTCGAGTTTCGTCTCGCGATGGTTCCCGGCTCTCTTCTCTGCTCTGAACATCCATTCGTCCATCTCTGACTGCTGCCTCGTAGTCAGCGCCCCCAGACTTGCCCTGTAACTCATTCTCTATCCATCTAGGTTCTAGAGCTGCGTTTCTAGAAGCTCCCAATGGTGCATTCATACTGCCCTCACTTACGTCGTTTCCGCTATCAGCTGCAGCTGCAGCAGCAGCCTTAGAAGCACCTCGCTTCCTCGGCGGTCTTTGCCGCTTAGCTTTTCCTGCCTTAGTAACGCGTTTACACGGGACATGTGCTCCGTCTGGCATGTCGTTAGGTGGTTCCAACGCGCTCAAGGTTTTATCACGTGTGTGTTCATCTGGCTCCTGTTGGCTACCGCTGTGCCGACTGATATCCTCCGGTTCTCTGCTAGGCAATTCATGCAACACTGGGTTCTTCTCTGTGTCTGGTAGTCTCTCATCTTTCCCATCTTGACTGTTGGGGATTAGGGCAGATTCTTTGCATTGGTCCTCCTTCATGCCTCCACTGCAGGTATTACTAGCCACTGGTTGGCTGACCTGTGGGCTTACAATGTCCTGGTCACTGACAGCTTCCTTGTTATCTTCCCCACTCTGGTCAGCTTCTGTTTTGGTATCTTGTGTCACGTCAGGGGTAGGGGAAGTTGGCAGGACGCCGCGTTTTTTCGCTGCTCTTGATTGTTGGGCTCTTGTTTTAGTTGGCATTGGTTGGGCCGTCACATCATTGCCCTCCTTGCGAATTTTGCCTGCTTTACCCGCTTTCACGGTTTCCACTTTTGTACTTTCCGGCTCCTTCAAAGGAAACGTTTCAGAACGTTTCCTCTGCTCATCTAGTTCCACGGGCGTAGATTCGACTGCAGTTACACTATTGATGCCAACTGTTGCGAGACCAGTTTTACAATCAACTTCCTTTTGCACAGTTTCTGCATTCTCTGTTTCTGCTTTATTGCCCTTTTGCCTTTGCTCACTGACTGTATTAGCTTCTGCACCAGATTCCGATTGAATTTCGGACCTTTGACTCGGAACAGACTTGCATGGTATTGTGGCATCACTGTCATGTACAGCAATAGCAGCTTGAACCTCTCTACCTTCCACTTCCTCTTCAGATTTTTGGGATCCTACATTGGGTGGATTAATTTTCGTGCCTTCTTTTGCCATGGCTGACGTCTTCGCTGGTGTCAGCTGTTGTGTTTTGTTTTTACTAGACAGAGGCTTGTTCCCTTCATCCTCTTCCTTATCCTCCTCATCACCATCACTATTCTCATCCTCCTCCTCCTCTTCCTCCTCCTCATCATCGTCTTCATCACCATCATCATCATCATCATCAGCCTCGCTTGACTGATTGCTTTCCTCGTCTTCATATTTTGACTCCGTCTCGGCCTTTTTCGATGGTTTTCTTTGTGCATCTTTCCGCGAGGTACCTCGCTTAGCAGTTGCTTTGACTTTCGCGTCTTTCTTAGGCGTCGGTGGATCTTCCTCTCCAGAGTCATCTGAATCCTCCTCCGTCTCGGAATGTGAAACCCTGGAGGTCTTCGTAGTCTTTGACTTAGAGCTACGAGATTGACTGCAAGGATCCTCATCGTTTTCATCGCTAGATTCGATGACGTGATGACCGCTTGCCCTTCTCGTCGACCGTTTCGCGTTCACAGCTCGTACTTTCGACTTGCCCTTCGAATCCTTTCCATCGTCGACGTCAGAGTCATCGTCACTCTCGGAACCGATCACTTTACGATAGTTCTTTCGTTTGCACGCACTACTGGGGCCCGACTTATTGCCACTCTCGTCTGAATCGCTCTCAAGCTTCCGTTTAGAGCTTGCGGCGTGTCCACCATTGCTGTGGTTCTCAACGTCGTCATCATCATCATCATCATCATCATCAGAAGCCTGCGGGACCACGATGCGTTTACGCTTACCGCTGCTTATCTTCTGTCGCTTCACTCCCCTCGCGCCCACTCTGTCGCTGTTGGACCCGGAGCCAGACCAGCTACCGCTCTCTGTGTCTCGCTGCTTCCCTGTCATGCGCCGGTGAACGGGTAGGCTTGCACTGGAGCTGGTGTCGGAGTCTTCCTTGTAGCGCACATTCTTCGTGACCTTCCTACGCCGCACCGTGGTGTAGTCATCAGACGATGCCTCACTGTCCTCGTCGTCAACAACTGAAACAAGAGCAGCGTCTGACTCAGTCACACTCCATTTGATATCACGCTGCAACTCGCACTGATTCGTGCTTGTGAATTACATGCGGTGTGTGTCCATATATATTTAGCCAAAACCATGTGGATAACCCGTTAACCTTTTCTGATAGCAGAACCTATGAGTTTCAGGGAATCACTTCATAGTAAAAGCTAACTTTGATAAAAGTAAATATTTATTGAATCAACGAGTACATCCGTAAACTACTGTACTGCACTGTACTGTACTGTAACTTACTGCACTGAATGCACTGCACAGAGATGTATGTGATACTCCCTATGAATGTCAGTTTACTCTACAACTCTAATATACTCCATCTCGTCAGCTTACCCCAGTCACCCTTGTAGCGATAGAAGCCCTTCTTCCGCTTGCCCTTAGCAGATCGCGTGCTGCGACGTGAAGGCTTCGGGCACCGCCGGCGACGCCGCCATGCCCAGCTGTCGTCGCTCGCTTCCGACATCGAAGGAGACTCCTCGGATTTCTCACTCGACTCCTCGCTACAGCAGTCAAAACAAGAGACCAGTGTTAGAACTACAGGCTGTCATTCCACTGGATTAGCATCCATGGCTTCAGCAAAGATGGCATACGTCATGTGAGTAATGAACGAATCTTCACTACTGTAATCCACGTAACAGAAACGTGAATTACTCAATAGAGGTCGTTGTCAACTGAATTCTGCTTCCTCCCAATACCCACTTGAACTATGCAAAGAGAGCACGCTACAAAATTCTTTACTCTACCCGTAATCAGTGTGTGATAGGAAACACACTAGTTCAAATATGTCACAGTGTCACAGAGCCAGAACACTCTGCAACTGAACACGCTGCAACACCAAGCGATGTCTTTGTGAATTATCTGCCGTCAACATTGCGTGACGAGCGACAACTCTTGACCATGACAAACCTTGTGACCTTGAACTCCTCATCCTCTGCATCCTCCTCGGTCTCGCTGCTCGCATCTAGGTTCGTTAGCCGTCGGTGGCGCCCCTTGCGGGCGACCACCGGAGGAAGCTCGTCTTCTGGAGGGAGGCCTGTGATGTTGGTCATGTCCTTGCCACGGTTTCTCCCTGAAAAGGTTAATTATAATGTGTCAGAGTTTAAAGCTGTCAGAGTTAAGAGTTGGGGTCCGTTGTCAGAAACACAATTAGTATTAATATCGGGTTTAACGTTGACTTTTTCTCGTCGACTATCAACAGAATTTTCTTTTGTAAAGTTGTGAGGAAATTTGGTAAGATTTTTCGTTCTCGCAACTCTAGGATGTTTCTCTAAAAGAACAAGTTAATGTTAAGACTAACATTAAGAGTAATTCAGTTGGTGCTACAGTAACTATACTAATGCCTCCTATTTATACCTGAGCTGTGAGAATATGGTAGAAAGGATCATATATCAAGAATAAAGTTATTACTATATCTTTCGTGCGTTATTAAATGCTTAAAACGACATGAAACTCAACTGGTCTAATGTTTATTAAATGACTTTAAGTGATGAGACTCAACTTCAAAATGACCTCCCAAATCCATAATTATTGCACCGCTTAGGCAAACAGTTTCACTTTGTCTTGAAAAAGGCTTTGGGTTGGATCATTTAAAAGGTTAACTTGCTGTCCATCTAAGACCGTTTTGTAAACTCAAACAATTATCAATCAAAAGACAATTATTTTTAAAAATCAACACTGGTTATATTCTGTTACTATACCTGGAGGAATAACTCTCTCTTCCTTGATATCATCCTTCACCGCATCCTCAATGAGCTCATCAAACTCCTCAAACTTATAGCTGATCTCCTGCCGAGTTCGTCTCGACCGTCGCAACCTGTTATTAAACCACAGAGAGATCATATAAACTTGTGTTGAAATCAACATAGTTGCATTGATAAATCTATGACCGAGAGGTAAAATAGTTGCCATATGTGACAAAATAGGGTTGACCTATAATGTCATCTCACCTCTAACAAATGTAAGAAACCGAGGAATTAATAATTATCAAATCTTATTCAATCGATACCATTCCGTGTCTTCATCAGAGTCCTCCTCGTCATCATCTTCTTCCTCGTCCTCCCCATCCTCCTCCTGGTCTTCATCTTCTTCGTTCTCCTTGTTCTCATCGTCATCCTCATCGGAATCCATTACACGCTGTCTCTTGTGCTTTCTCTTCTTCTCCTGTTCAATAGCCAGCCAACAATAATTAGTTTAATTCAGCTGTTTGATCCCATCAGTACAACTGGTTCATCTTCATGCATCTACCAGATCATGGTATAATAAGTACTGCAAACACATCTTATTTAACGAAATACTATAAACTGAAATACTATGATATATATATATGTATGTATGTGTGTGTGTGTGTGTGTGTGTGTGTGTGTGTGCGTGCGTGTGTGCGTGTGTGTGAGTATGCCAATAATTATTTGCACAAGGTATTGAGTTACTTATCAATTATATTGAACCGTAAAAAAAATCAAAACACCAAACAAAAACCAAAAACCAAATCACTGACACAACTAAAAAAATACTGAAAGCTAGACACATCTTCTATATAATTATATAATTAACATCAGTGAAATTATACTAACCAATACATTAGATAAGCTGACGTTGACAAAGTCCAGTCTATCCTGTCTCTTCTGAAGCCTGTCTTGCTCCTTCAACTCATTGTCCAGGTCCAGCAGCTGCTCCTGTAGTTTCTCTAGCAGCATTTTCTGTGGTGATGCATTATCTACTGTTAGCTTATACAAATGCATGTTCCCACATGTAACACTAACCACATTAAAGTTTGCAATAGTAACATTATATCTATGAAATTACCCAACTGACGAGTTACAAACAAGACAAACCGAATTCGAACCAATTTGAAGGGAATTTACTGTAGAATTAAAGCGACTGCTCACGTCAATCTGTTGTACTGCCTACTCACGTGTTCACAGGGAGGGCAGTACCAGTTGCCATCCGGTACATCCATGAGTGGTGGTCGTAGACAGGCGGTGTGGTAGCCCGCATCACAACTGTCGCACAGCAGAATCCATTCCGGATGATCACCCTCGTGGCAGCGGGTGCACGGCTTGTCGTCCTCAGCTTCACCGTCACTCTCTCCATCATCTGTCAGGTGAGGTACACGTATACGTATTTAAGCAGATGATTTTACCTTGACGAATTACGATCGAATTAAATCCCACCCCGAGCTAGACATGTGAAAAGACGCACACATCTCTGATGTTCATTATTGTTTTCACACTCTCGACTCTCTCACGACCTACCAAGCAGCAGCACACTGTGCCATAATCTCTATAGGCTAAGCTACTACTACAGCTAGCATGGGGGCCATTGCAGGGGGGGCTTACAAAATAATTTTGTAATGATTAAATGTTTAGTATCATATTGTGTGATTCATTCAGCAATAAAACATAGCAACACACTCAGTCTACAGTGAATTTTGCAAATACCTCTAGTTTTCTTCACGGTCCTTGCACGTTGCTTTGGTGCTACGACTTCTCCCTCCTCATCTTCGCTTTCCATGTCCGAGTCTAGTTGTTTTCTACGATGGGACTTTGACACGGTGGGAACGAATTCATCATCTGAATCCTCCTTGTTCTTTCTCTGCACATACAGATACCGATTACATAACCAGCAAACATGACATCACATTTCTGATCTTGCTACAACATGCAATATCAATTTCAGATGAAGTAAATGTTGGTCATAATCACAGTTCCCATATGCTAGAAACTATATATGGATGTACATGTACCCAAAATAAAGCAATCTTAATACTACCACCACGGTTTTGACGCAACTGAATTCGTTGTTTCAGTCCCTCCTTCCCATCCACAGGTTCAACAGTGCCAAAGCTTTCAGCAAATACCTTATTGTTCTTCTTTGGTTCCTCATCGCTGAGTTCATCACTGTCGAGAATCTGCTCAACTACGGGAGGTGGGGGCGGCTGCCGCCGTGGCCTCAAACTCCTCCTTATGGGAGTGTCTACCAATTCTGGAGGCATCAGAAAGTCGGTTTTCTTCTTCCTACCCTTTTTCACAAGTGTACCGGCAGGTTTGGCTTTACCGGCAGTCTTCTTTTCATCCACGTTGTCACCATTTGCATCACCTTTGCTGTTTTTGTCCACATTTTTGTTATCATCCTTGATCTCATCACGAGCTGATTCACTTTTATCACCAGATTCAACATTTTTGTTATTTTCATCATGTTCTTTGTCACCTTTGTCACTCTTCTTGAGATCTTTTTCAATGTTATCAATGCCCTTGTCTTTTTCTTTGACACATTTTTCACTTTCATCAACAATTTTGTCACACTTTTCAACATCTTTGTCACTCTTCTTGAGATCTTTTTCAATGTATCAATGCCCTTGTTTTTTTCTTTGACACATTTTTCACTTTCATCCACAATTTTGTCACACTTTTCAACATCTTTGTCACTCTTCTTGAGATCTTTTTCAATGTATCAATGCCCTTGTTTTTTTCTTTGACACATTTTTCACTTTCATCAACAATTTTGTCACACTTTTCAACATCTTTGTCACTCTTATCAAATGTTTCATCATGGTTCACATCACCTTTGTCACGCTTGTCAACAGTTTCATCAGCTTTGTCACTCTTGTCAACAGTTTCATCACCTTTGTCACTCTTGTCAACAGTTTCGTCATGTTTCACAACATCATTTTCACCTTTATCAATATCTTTGTCACTCTTCTTGTCATCTTTGTCACTCTCATCAACACTTTTGTCACGTTTAACATCTTTGTCACTCTTATCAAATGTTTCATCATGGTTCACATCACCTTTGTCATGCTTGTCAACAGTTTCATCAGCTTTGTCCCTCTTGTCAACAGTTTCAT